AGTTTAGGGTCAGGTAGGTCCTACCTGTGAGGTTAGTTTTAGGGTCAGGTAAGGTACCTGTGAGGTTAGTTTAGGGTCAGGTAGGTCCTACCTGTGAGGTTAGTTTTAGGGTCAGGTAAGGTACCTGTGAGGTTAGTTTAGGGTCAGGTAGGTCCTACCTGTGAGGTTAGTTTTAGGGTCAGGTAAGGTACCTGTGAGGTTAGTTTAGGGTCAGGTAGGTCCTACCTGTGAGGTTAGTTTTAGGGTCAGGTAAGGTACCTGTGAGGTTAGTTTAGGGTCAGGTAGGTCCTACCTGTGAGGTTAGTTTTAGGGTTGGTGGTCAGGGTTAGGCTGTAGAATCACTGGAAACGAATGGAAGTCAATGAACGGTCCTAATAAAGACAGAAATACAAAGCTGTGTGTGTGTGTGTGTGGTGCTGAGTAGATATAGTGTCAGAGTTTTTCAGGAGCTGCGTTGTCGGTTAATGTTCTGCACTGACAAGTCACTGGCCTTCACACATATTACACACTTGAAATGTTGAAGTTTTTCTCTGTAATAGGCAGAATGAATCACTTTGTTTCTTTTTATTTTCTATACTTGTGGACGCTCCAATTGAAGGATTTTTAAAAAAAAAGGTGTTAAAGCAATAGTCAGGTTCTGTGAAAAGCTATTAATACCTTACCTGGTCTAGATAGCGCTTTAAACAATCTCAGTTTGAAGGGACATAATTAAATTCTGGCCAGATTGATAAGCTAAAGGCTGATTTGAGCCGGGGAAAGACCAAAGTGGAGTTTTGCTTTCTTAAAACAAATTGAATCCTATTTTTGTTTATATCACAATTATGTGATCACTTTTTATAAACTTGAAATTGGATCTTTGAATGGAGTCACATCCAAATAAACTATATTTCAGTTGTAAATCAGAAAACCAGTTATGATTAGTGAACAGGATAAATGTTATTAGCAACACGAGCTAATAACAAGTGGTGTCCCGATACCAATACCAGCATTTTCACAATACTTGACTTGTACAAAATGCCCCGATACTCAGAGCCGATACCAATATACCTTTGGGAAGGTAGATCAGATCAGCTTATCGTGTAAGTATCAATCGCCAAACTCCCAAAATTAAGGAAATCAGGACCGATTAATTGTCTGTCTGACTTTATCGATGCACCCCAACCAATACTGACACTGGTAATAATAACTGATTGTGTTACAGTTTTCATTTAGAGTAAAACGTTTGTCAGTTCCAGGTTTAATTATTTAAAAATGTTTCAACAATGTATATATTGCTGTATATACAGTCAGAGAGGCCATAGGCCTATAAGGAAGGAGTCATTGTGTAATATTGTAACTCAGTAAGTACTTTCCATTGGCGAGTACTAAAGTACTCGTACTCAATTTGAGAAAAACTGGTGCCGGAACACCCCTATTTTCTGTATTTTATTTATTGAAACACCGTAGATAGCACATGTCCATGGCTGATACAACTGAATAGTGACACAAGTGAGAGTTATCGCCACGTTTTATGTGCGAGGCAGCCATATTGGATTTTGAATGGGGTTAACCTTAGAAATTAAGTTTCTGACTTTCAACTTCAGGGAACGTTCCAGTGGATTTTCCCGACTTGGAACTCTTAAATCCATACGTCTGTTTACAGAAATGAAACATGAGGCACTGCTTACAGAGGTTTTTACCACCACTTCTGTTGATGAAAGACCAGAAGTGTTGTAGACAAACTTTTCTGAGTGTGTTTGGCCTAGTTGTACAATGTGAAATCTTGGGAAGATGATAAAGAGGATTATAGGGGAAACACAGTATATATGACTGTAAGTATTATTTCCCTTTATCTATAATCTGTTTTAAAGGTCAGAACAATCAAACAGTGTGGTAAAGACAACTAAAAACATTTAATTTGATAGCAGTTGTTCCAAATTACTGTAAATACAGTATGGATAACTGTCCAAGTAGTATCTGTCAAATGCTTCCTAGCTCATTTTTAGAATTGGTCACATTTATTGCTTTCTTTTCAAACAAATGACCCATATTTGATGTAAAATTACAAAATTACAAATTTGTAATTTATCATAGGCAAAAAAACTTCCTCTCTGAACCATCTTCCAGTAAAAATGGAAGTTTATTTTTTGGTAAACGTTCTTCTTTGCCCATTAAATTCAAATTATATTATAAATATCGACTAAATCAACTATAATTGTCTTACTTTTTTTTCAAACTGCAGGAATAACGTAATGCAGTGCTGGCATACGGTTCAGTTTACTGTTCACTTTAAACTTTAGACTTTTAATAACAGTTTTATAATTTATTTTTAATATAACTCAGCCCAAATGCGAAGGCGAACAAAGATCGTCCTCTGTGTAAGGTCACTGGTAAACATAGCGAGGCGGCACATTAGTCGGAGGCTGAGAAGAGATGAAGCAGATGAGAAGGGTTTCAGATGTTTTAACGTGTTTGAAAGCTTGTAATCTGTAATCAGGTCAAATGGTTTTGCACAAACGTGTGCACAACTCCCCCCCAGCCACCCCCTTCATTTCCTCCATCCTCCACCACCTCTATAGCCAGAGTCCTTTTAACTTGGCTCAGATGAAATTAAAATTCCGTCAACTGCCACAGGGGTGTGGACAAGCAACGGTAGCTTTTGAACTAGATTAATTTAATGGTGAAGTGTTAATCTAGTGTGTGTGTGTGTGTGAGAGAGAGAGAGAGAGAGAGAGAGAGAGAGAGAGAGAGAGAGAGAG